CACCTTGGTTTTTTTGTTGCGAGGTCTCTCATTGGCCTGGAGCTTGTGAATTAAACTAGGCTGTCTGGCCAGTGAACCCTAGTAATGTTCCTGCTTCTACCTCCCCAGCACTGGGATTACTAGTGGGTATGACAACTACACCTGACTTTTTTTTTTTTTTTTTTTTTAAGAAAATAGTTGTGTTCAACAGTCCTGATTTAAGTAAGATTGACTTACAAAATGAATAAGTTTTTACATTTTGTGTTCATGTGTCACCACAATACATGTGTGAGAATCAGAGGACAACTTGGCTAGAGTGGGTCTTTGCTATCCTGGAACTCACTTCGTAGACCAGGCTGGCCTCGAACTCAGAGGTTCACCTGTCTCTGCTGCCTGAGTGCTAGGATTAAAGGTGTGCGCGCCACCCCTGCCTGAGATATCTTTTTTTTTTTTAATTTATTTATTATGTATACAGAAGAGGGTGCCAGATCTCATTACAAGTGGTTGTGAGCCACCATGTGGTTGCTGGGAATTGAACTCAGGACCTCTGGAAGAGCAGTCAATGCTCTTAACCTCTGAGTCATCTCTCCAGCCTGAGATATCTTTTTTTTTGCGGGGCATGGGGGAGGCTGGATTTTGGTTTTTGGTTTTTGGAGACGGTTTCTTTGTGTAGCCTTGGCTGTCCTGGATCTCACTCTGTGGACTAGGCTGGTCTCGAACTCACAGAGGTCCACCTGCCTCTGCCTCCCAAGTGCTGGGATTAAAGGCATGCTCTACCACCGCCCGGCTGGGTTCTGTCTTTTAGCTGTTTTAAAAGGACCAAACTCAGGTTGGCATGCATATTGTCAAGTGTCCTGACCTGCCAAGCCATCTTGTCACCCACTTTGAAAAAGCTTTGTTCTGTTATAGTGCAAGTGTCAGAATGGATGGGAAATAAATTTAGCAGGCATTCATTGTCTCGATTAGCATTGTATGCCTATTCTGATAGCCATGAATGTCCCCAAAGTGCTGCCATTCTGCATCATGGTTTCTCCCAATGCTGCCAATCAGCTCTGACCCCAAATTCGAAGTCTAAAATAAAGGTGCCAAGGGACACCAGCCTGCCATGTTCATGGTACAAACTATGACAAAACCCATCTTCATGAGGTTAAACATGTGGAATAGGATTGCCTGTAGGACCCATGGCCACTGGCATCTTACATTGCTTCAGTTGCTCAGCTTTCCACAATATAGTATATTAAAAAACATAATCCACCAGCCTGGTCTACAGAGTGAGTTCCAGAACAGCCAAGGCTACACAGAGAAACCCTGTCACAAAGAACAAACAAAAACCATAATCCAGGGGTTGGGGAGTTAGCTCAGTGGTAGAGCGCTTGCTAGGCCCTGGGTTCGGTCCTCAGCTCCAGAAAAAAACAAAACAAAAACCATAATCCAATCCAGTATAATATGGTAACATATGCCTTTGATTCCAGCACTCTGGAGGCAGAGGCCGACAGATCTTTGTTTGAGGCCAGTTTGGTCTATATAAGGAGCTCTAGTTTAGCGGGGAACTACACAGCCCTGTCTCAAACAAATAACAAGAAAAGCAGTAATCTTGTCTCAGTAAATAGTGTGTCATTGTTTTTCCTTTCTAAAGATAATTGGATATAATTAGTAATGTTCAACTCTTCACAAAGATGGAGAATATTCCCCCCCACAACCTATTGAAGTTGAGTTTTCTATTTAGATTTATATAACTGGTTATAGGAATGTGTTTAAAAACTAGGAAAAGAATCTCATTACTGTCTCAGAAATGAACAGGATTCACCTTCGTTTCAGTTGTGTTTATTACCTTGTTCTAGGAAATGGTTAAAAATGCAGAAGCAATTGTGTATGCATATATGTGTATACATATTTTTTAAGAATTTGATTTTTTTTCATACAGTATATTTTGATCATATATTTTCCCTTCCCCAACTCCCTACCCACCTAACGTCTTGTTCTTTCTCTCTTTCAAAAAAAATAAACTCCCCAAAACAACAAACAAAAAACTAATATTATAAAAAATAACAAACAAAAACTGAAAGCACACAAAAAAATCACGGAATTCCTGGGCATGGAGCCCATCCTGGAATGTGATTGATGCACTTAGAGAATTGTCTATATTTTTATTACTATGTCAATTATAGTTCCCTGTATCGAAAAATGCTGTCTTTTAATTAGGGAAAGGTGTGTGTGTGTGTGTGTGTGTGTGTGTGTGTGTGTGTGTGTATTATATATACATAATAACAGATAAAGGCTATTAACATTTTAAGGTGATTTAAAAAAAAAATAAAGAGGTTCTTAGATAAACAGTATCAGCAGCACTAAGAATATGTTAGAAACCCCAGACCTACACACCCAGAAACTCTGGGGTGTTAGCCACCAGCAGTATGTTATGTAATCTCCATCTGATTATATACATATTAAATTTGAGAACTACTGGTCTAGGGAAATTGTTTCCTAACTAGGGTTTAATTTTTATTTCTGTTTTTGTACAGTTTAAACTCAAGTTTAAGGTTTTGTTTTGTTTTTTAAGATTTATTTTTATTTTATGTACATGGGTATTTTGCCTGCGGATATCATCTGTACCACATGCATGCCTGGTGCCTTTGGAAATCATAAGAGGGTGTTGGATCCTCTGGAACTGGAGTGACAAATAGCTGTTAGCCATGTGTGTACTGGGAACCGAATCCAGGTCCTCTGCAAGAGCAGCAAGTGCTGAGCAGTCTCTCCAGCCCCAAGTTTCAGGGTAGTGGTGTTTCTGTTACTGGTTTTCTTCTTTCTTTTTCATTTTTGTTTGTTTGTTTGTTTCTGAGGTGTGGCCTCTGTAGCCCAGGGTAGCCTTGAACCCCTGCAGTCCTCCTGTCTTAGCCCCCAAGTGTTAAGACCATAAGCATTTCAAGGCTGGAGAAGTGGCCGAGTGGCTACTCGTGTTGCAGGATACAGACCCAAAGACCACTCAGCATGACCAAAATCTGACTTGAAGTTCTGCATTAGACCAGCTGGAGACTGTCTGGAGAGAAGCACTTCTTTCAGAGCATCCCTGCATGTATTTTATGGGGAGCTTTTAAAGGCAAAGACCCAGAAAAACTGCATCCTGGATGGGAGTTGCAGAAGGAAGTAAAGAAGCAGGCAGTTTAAACAGAAGCCAAACCATACCATTAGCTGGGGCATTTCAGCCCTGAGTTTCTAGAACAGGGTTGGGTCCTTTCCCATGGGACCTTTCACAGTGACGGATGGGGGATAAAGAAGGGGCAGAGTTTCAGGTGAAACAAAAGATGGGTACAGCCGAGACAAGATACAGGAACCTTTGTCCTGTCACAACCAGGACTTAATTGTTCTCACAGAGGCCCTGGGTATTGTTTCCAGTACTCACCTGGTAGATAGCAACCATTCATAACTCCAGTTTCAGGGAAGCCAGTGCTGCCTTCTGACCTCCATGCACACCAGGCATACATGCCTCTCACACACATATGCACATAAATATAAACCTAAAACTTTCATTTTTTTTCAGACTGGGTTTCTTTATGGAGTACTGGCTGACCTGGAACTTGCTCTGTAGATCAGACTGGCCTCGAACTCACACAGATCTGACTGCCTCTGCTTCCCAAATGCTGAGATTAAAGCTGTGTGTCACCACCACCCAGCATAAAACATTTTTTAAAAAAGCATTTCACATAGTGGAGGAGCATGGTGTCACAGAAGAACAAGTTGAATTCTGGGTGATTAAACAGTTAAAACAAATTTACTTCAAATTATATTAAGAACATTTATCTCCATATGATTTTTAATAAAATCTTATTTTAAAAGGACTTGCAAATAAAAAACCCACACACTGAAATTTCAGTGAACTTCTATATACTTACGTGGTAGTTTGAATGAGAAGGCCACCATAAGCTCATAGGTTTGAATGGTCCCTCTACCAGTTACTGGTTTTAGAAGAATTGGAAGGTGTGGCCTTGTTGGATGGAGTGTGTCACTAAGGATGGGTTTTGAGTTTCCAAAAGCCCACACCAGGCCTAGTCTCTCTTTCTGCCGGCTGCCTGCAAATTATGATGTAAAGCTACCAGCTACTACTCTAGCACCATACCTGTCTATTTCCTGCCATGATGATCATGGACTAACTCTCTAAAACTAAACAAGCCTTCAGTTAAATGCTTTCTTTCATAGGAGTTGCCTTGGTCATGGTGTCTCTTCACAGCAACAGAACACTATCTAAGACAAGTTAGAATAGCTGTTTTGAACATACATGATTCCCCCCCCACCCCCCAAGACAGAGACTCTGTGTAACAGCCCTGGCTGATCTGGAACTTGATCTGTAAACCAGACTGGCCATGAACTCACAGAGATCCCATGCCTGCCTCTGCCTCCCAAGGGCTGAGGTTAAAGTGTGTACCACCATGCCTGGCATATATGATTTTTTAATAAGATAACATGAAGTATGTAGTATATTGTCAGGTTCTCAAGGATTGTGGAAAATTGTCTTTAACTGTTTTTCTTGTTAGCAAAGAGTGCTTGTCTCCATCTGTTCTAAACTTAGTTTTTCTTCAGTGTGTTTTACTGTTCTTTGTCTTTGAGCCTTCGTAATAGCTACTTTTCTTAAACAAGCCTCCTGTAACCTGTTAGCTCACTGACGTCTATGCATCCTTCCGATCCCTGACTAGTTTTCCTGGTCCTCACACCCCAGTCTGAGCAGCCACTTGCATATATCCTTCCCACATGATGTGAGGGCAGAGACAGACATGTCTTGTTCACTGCCACATTCTTAGGTACCTGTGAAGTGTTAAAGAAATGATCATTGCCATTTCTGTTTCCCCGTCACTGTCCAAAAGCAGTGCCTCTGTCTGGCCTAGAGTTTCTGTGCTGGCTGCTTGTGATAATCCCAGCAGGTATTAGAAGGTCAAGTGCCTGTTTTTTTTTTCCTTAAAACATGTGCTTTGTTGATCGAGGCAAACATAGTACACTCAACTGCTTACTAAGCACTCATCCCTCTATCACAGGTACCATGGGAGAGCTAGATGCTCTGATGGACCAAGTTCATATGCAGAACCCAGACTGGCAGCATCCTTCAGATCTTACTACACGGTAAGTGACTCTTCTTCCTTCTGAAGGTGGAAAGGCTTTGGTTGCAAGGGAAATAGGATTTCCAGGTCTTTATTTCCAGAAAAAGAAACATGGCCTTAGAATGAACTACGAATTGGACCAGAATTCAGGTTTTAATACTCGATGCACAGTGTTTAACTAGCTCTATGATTATGATTGGTTCACTTCAATTTTGTGGTTATCAGTAAATTTTCTGGTTCTAAAAATCTGGTTTCTGTTTTATTTATTGTTGTGCACATGTGATGTGCATGCGTGGTACATGTGCAGTGGAGCCAGTTCTCTCCATCCACCTTTATGTGAGTTCAGGGGTTAAACTCAGGTTGTCAGGTTTTTTTGGTTGTTGTTGTTTTGGTTTTTCGAGACAGGGTTTCTCTGTGTAGCTTTGCGCCTTTCCTGGAACTCGCTTGGTAGCCCAGGCTCTGCCTCCTGAGTGCTGGGATTAAAGGCGTGCGCCACCACCGCTTGGCAGGTTGTCAGGTTTTTGCAGAAAGTGCTTTTGCCCACTGAGCCATGTTGTTGGCCCCTGAATCAAGAATTACTTCCTCCCCCTCCTCTTCCTCTTCTTCCTCCTCCTTCAGCATTACAAGGTCTTACTGTTCAGGCCAGCCTCAGGCTCCCAAGTCTTATTCATAATATAGTCATGCACTGCCATACTCAGCTTCAGTATCTGGGGTGCTAGGCTGGGCAGGGTAGCACACACCTTTAATCCCAGCACATGGGATGCAGAGGCCAGTGGATCTCTTGAGTTTGAGGCCAGTGTGGTCTACAGAGCAAGTTACATAGCAAGTTCTAGGCCAGCCAGGGTTGCAGACTGAGAGTCTGTCTCCAAACAAACAGAAACAATCTAGAGCGTGTGTTTGTCTGTTCTGAGATGGGGTCTCCTTATGTAGCCAGGCTAGGATCAAAACCATGATGCTTCTACTTCCTGGATGGCAAGATTATAGGCATGTACTATCATAGGTAAACTAAACTAAAATCTGGGTTCTTGAGCTGGCAAGATTGCTCAGTGAGTACAGGCAATTGATGCCAAGGCTATCAGCTTGTGTTCATCCCCAGAACCCACATGGTAGAAGGAGAGAACCAACTCCTGCAAATTGTCCTCTGGTTTTCACACATGAGCTGTGACACATGGGCACCTACACACACACACACACACACACACACACACACACACACACACACACACACACACAGACACACACACACATAAATAAAAAAATCTGTATTTGGGGTTGGGGATTTAGCTCAGTGGTAGAGCGCTTGCCTAGCAAGTGCAAGGCCCTGGGTTCGGTCCTCAGCTCTGAAAAAAAAAAAATCTGTATTTGGGGCTGGAGAGATGGCTCAGAGGTTAAGAGCACTGACTGCTCTTCCAGAGGTCCTGAGTTCAATTCCCAGCAACCACAAGGTGGCTCACAACCATCTGTAATGAGATCTGGTGCCTTCTTCTGACCTGTAGTCATACATGCTGTATACTAAATAAATAAATCTTGAAAAAAAAAATCTATGTTCTTGATGCAGTGTAGTTTTAACTTTAATTCAGTGACTCAGAAACCTTAGGGTTGTATATGCCTTTAATCCCAAAGGTAGGCAGATCTCTGTGAGTTCAAGGCCACCCCAGTCTACATCGTTCCAGGCTAGCCAGGTCTACATAGTAAGACCCTGTCTTTAAAAACAAAAACAAAAACACAAAAGCCTTGGTGTTACTATAACATTTTTCTCTCACACTCCATATTATGGCATCAGGAAATCATATAGCTTCTACATATACCCAAAGCTGACCATATCTCATTATTTTTCCTGGATTATTGCAAGTATCCTACATCAGTCATTGCCTGCTTACTGTTCTTACATCAGAAGCCAGAGAAATTCTCCTAAAGCACAATGCTAGCTCCCTTCTTTCTTACTCTTTGCCATTGGCTTCCAACCATCACTAGCCGTCACTCCTCTAAGAATGTCTGTGTGCTTTGCTGGACTCACCAACCTTATCTACTACTGTTACTGCCTACTCTTCTAGTTACGTTGGCTTCCGTCAGAACCACAGCACTTAAGCACTCTGCAGGCAGAAGCAGGATAATTGCTATAAATTCTAAGCTATCTTGGGGTACATAGCAAATTCCAGGATGCATAGCAAGATTCTCTAAATAAATAAATAAACAAGTAAATAAAGTGAAATAAAACCCAAAAACATAAGCAGTTCTCAGATGGTGTAGGGATGGAAATGTAGCTCATTTGTAAGCTCTACTGCACACACACACACACACACACACACACACACACACACACCCTCAAAAAAGAGGGGGCAGTGTAACATAGTTGTTACTAAATACATTTTGGAGTCAGATAAATGAATTGTAATCTAAACTTACCATATGATACTCACAAGATGACTTATCTTCTCTGGGAATTCTCTTTTTATCTAATTTGAACTGCTGTGGCCTAAGCAACCTTGATCTGTGTTAACAGTGCAGTCCTATTGGAGGTGTGGGTCTGATGAGTCAATGAAAGACAGCCTGCTCGAAACACTTCTAGAGGGAGAAAAAAAATTCTCCTTGAACTATTTTTGGTTTTTTGAGACAGGGCCTTCTGTTGCTCACACTGGTCATGTAGCTGAGGATGCCTTGACTCAGAGTGTAGGGATTACAGGTGTACACTGCCATGCCAGGTTCTTAAACCTGACACATTGGTTTTCCTTAGAACATGGGATATGTGGCACTTAGAAAACAATACCGTAGGAATGAGGTGACCTTGAGAGTTGGAAGGAAACAGCATTTATGATATGGTTTTCATAGAATGAAAATAGTATAAAATTTTTAAATTTTAACATCAAAATATTGTATTAGTCCTACATGGTGGCAAATACTCTCAGCACTCAGGAGGCAGAATTAGGTATATATCTGTGAGTTTGAGGTTAGCCTGATCTACATAGTTCCAGGAAAGTTAGGGCTATATAGAGAGACCCTGTCTCATAGACAAACAACTACATATATAATCTGACTTCTAGGAGTAAAAATGTCTTCAAAAATAGTTATGAAAACAGCCGGACATGGTAGCACATGCCTTTAATCCCAGCACCTGTGAGGCAGAGGCAGGCGGATCTCTGTGAGTTCAAGGCCAGCCTGGTCTACAAATCAAGTTCCAGGACAGCCAGGGCTGCTATACAGAGAAACCCTATCTCGAAAAACAAGCTAAAACAAACAAAATATTTTGTAGCTGTTTTGTGTACAAGTGGCCATTCCAGCTGAAAATCCCTGTTGTTTTTATTCTCTTTCAATAGAAACTATGCCCGGTTCCGACAGAAGCCGCTCCAGAGATACAGTCTGAGTCAGTGGGTTGACAGAAACAAGCGGAGCCACCACCGTTTCCAGCGTCTCCCAGACTTCTCGTACAGTCCATATGTCTCATCCCATCAACAGTGACAGTCCCTGCCCAGGACCCAGTCCACTGCAGCGTCTTATCTCCTTTGCTATTTTTGTTTGTATATTTTGAGTTTTATATTTCACAAAATTTTTATTTAAAGTATTTGTCACCTTTTGGAAATGCACATTACTGTCTTAAATTTTTTTTTGAGGATCCTTCTGATTTATGTGTCTGTCTATACATGTTTCAAGCAATATTAAGTAGTATTTTTCTGTTTTCTTTCTTTCTTATAAATGTAAAATGAAGGTAGCTCCCTTTTGAAGGCCTGTATTACTTCAGAACATCCAGGCTTAAGTAACATACCAGCTCTTAGCTCTTAGATGATTATCTCAAGGAAATCATCTTCCAATCTTCTGTAAGGAAGGGATTTGTTCTGCAGGCTACAAGCCAGTGTTACTGTTGATGACTCGTGAATGGGCAGAAGTCACTTTTAACAACTCCTCTCAAAATTTGAGTGTCTTGAGTACCTGTCAGTATTTTAAGGTTGGCGATTCAGGACATTTAAAATAAGATGGAGTAAGAGAAAAGTCCTGTTGAAAGGATAAGTTAAAAATGTAAATCCTCTCCTTTCTGTACTGATTAGCTGCCTTTATTTTCTAAAATTATTGCCTTTTTTTCATTTTCTGTTAACTATATCTTGCTCACAGTGTTTGTAAACCTTACACATCGTAACTGACAGAAGACAGCTGACTAACCCTTGTTGAATACTCTGTGGTCTTGTGACTGCTTGGTTTCTCTTGTCCCTTCAAGGATTTTTTTTTCTCTTTTTTCTCACTCCTAGTGACCACTCTGCTCCTAGAGTTTTACAGAGGTGTTCTTATGTCCTGGTAGACTCAGACACGCCTTTCAGAATGCTCTCTGTTTACTGGAGAACTCCACCAGAATCTTGCCTTGATGACGGGCCAGTGCCATTGAGATGTCTGGGAATCTTCAGTTTCATGTGCAGAACCCCAAGTTTGTGTGTTGTGTTAATCAAGGAGCCTCCTTGCTGTGGAAGCCTTTGGAGAGGCCCTCTTTCCTCTCTGGTTGATTATGGGTCCCTCTACACTCTGGATGGTAGCGTTTGGCATTTGGTCATTCCCCATCGTCACAGTAGTACTCAAGGACATCCAGGGAAATTGGGGTGGAGCCCGTCTGTCACGTTACCTGCTCTAGAGTGAGGTTCCAGGTTCTGACCAAAGCTGATAGGCTTGTGTGTCTGTCTTAGTGGATGTCTCCCAGCAGCTCTAGACATCATTTGAGGAGGTTACAGCATGGTGTTCACGCCGCTGTCTTTCACTCGGTCTGCGAAGGTTATTCCTAGTTGTGGTTTTCTTTCATCAGTCCCATTTTCTTATGTGGATAGCCCATCCTAAATACTGGACTCCACTTTAGAAAAGTGGGTTTTTTTGTCGGGGGAAGAGGGGTTTCGAGATAATGTTTCTCTGTGTAGCCCTGGCTGTCCTAGAACTTGCTCTGTAGACCAGGCTGACCTCACTCAGAGATCCACCTGCCTCTGGCTCCCAAGTGCTGGGATTAAAGGTGTGTGCCACCACCATTTGACTGAAAAAGTGACTTTGATTTTTTTTTCCCCCAAGTCTTCAGTGGGTTTGGATGAATGTTCCTGTTTGTTGGTTTTATGTAGTCAAGGGTTTCTTTTTTTACTTACTCTTTTTTTGTTTGTTCGTTTGTTTGTTTGTCTTTGTTTTGTTGTTTTTGAGACAGGGTCTCCTATATAGCCTAGGTTGCCCTTCCATGCACTATTTAGCCCAAGATGGTCTTGAACTTCTGATCTTCCTGCCCCACTTCTCAAGTACTGGAATTACAGGTGTGTATCACTATGCCCAGCAAGAATTTTTTTTTTCAATCCCCAAGACAGGGTTTCTCTGTGTAGTCCTGGCTGTCCTGGAACTCACTCTGTAGACTAGGCTGACCTCAAACTCGGAGATCTGCCTGCCTCTTCCTTGAGTACTGGGATTGAAGGTGTGTGCCACCATGGCCAGCTTTTGACTTTTTTTTTCCCAGCAAGGATTTTCTATTCCTTGGTTCTTTGGTTTAGATCCGTGACTAGACCTTCAAAGGCAGGAATTGGAGTTCTTCTCTCAGTTGGCATAATTATCATTTACTTCCTTGATCATTTGTCCAAGGTGCTGTAAGTTAGCCTGATAGAGGGAGATATGCCAAATAATCGCCTTTGGGACCAAAACAAAGTTAAAATGTAATCTAGCTGGAGTAGTTAGTGTGCTGAGTAGTCAGTCCCCACAGGTAACCCAGGGAGTAAAGGACAGTGTTTGCTTAGGCAGAAATCTGAGATGCTCTTGCTCTCCTGGTTCCGGGGGGTTAAAGACTGAATGTATAATGGGAGCATTGCCTTTGCCAAATCAGATGAGTGACAGGTTAACTAGAAAATGTGACAATCACATTTCCTCTAGCTCAGATAATTCTGTTTTTCCAAAGTGTTAGCAGCCTAATTAAATCTGTTGGACTGGGGGAGGAGAGAGCTGTTCTCTGGTGTTAACATGGTATTCTTTAAGGAGAAAAACAAAGCCAAAGAAAACTCGTTATCTGGCATGTTAGCCTTAAAGGTGGTAATGGGCAGAATCCAGAGTTTTAATCTCTTCAGAGCTGCATATCTCTTATATTATATTTGGTACTGGTCTCTAAGTCTTGTGTTGTAGATTAAATTCTTGCTGTATTTTTAAATTTGAGTGAGGGTTATGTGCATTTAACTCTACCTAACTTTTATCATCCGTGATGACATTGTTATCACAGGGGTCTTGACAAAGCAAAATAAAAATTTGCTATTTAAATAGTTTACTTGTAAGTAAGGAGCCTGAAATAACCAATAGTTTTGCATCTAATATGGGCTCTGATTGACTTGCATTGTTGTCAGGATCAATTATGAAACTGAAGTTTGGTGCCTCCTTTTTTTTTTTTTTTTTAATCATGTTTTTCCCCTTGTAGCAGTTGTGTTTAATGTCATTAAAAAGAAATAAAAGTTCTTGTCAGTGGCATATGTACTGTGGCCGTCTGTTTCGGGCTTCGGAGGAGGGTTCTTTGCCTTCCTCTGCGTAGGTCGTTCAGTAGGATATGGGAGGGTGGCAGCATTTAGTAGAACATGATTCTGGGAAGGAGGTGCTTGCTCCCTGCTCTTTGGAGGGTAAATTACAGTGTTGAGGAAGGCGTTCCAGCAGTTAAGAAATGTTGAGATTGATTGGGATTTGCAGCTACATATGGTGCATGTCAGGAGCCTGACATGGGAGAGCCTGAAATATCACTGTGCTGCTGATTTTGCAGAGGGGGAGACCATGCAGCACCATTAGGCACGCAGTTCCTTGCATTCCTTCTCATGGCTCCCTGTTGGCCACTGTGTCTGTTTCTCTCGAGCTAGCACTAAGGAGGAAACCATGCTATTCCAGGGTATTCTCCCTTTGAAGATAGGAGAAGCCAGAATCAGTCATTTGAAATTGGTGGTTCTTAACCCAACTTCTCTAGAAATTTTTGCTCCAAGAAACTGGTGTGAAGATTGGATGGATGTGGGTAAATAATGGAGAAATAACAGTTTGTAGATTCCGTTTATGAACCTGATCTTCTTAGATTTACCCCTAGGAGCAAGGATACAGGAGCAGCAATGATGGATTGTCACCTACATTAGCCAGTGCTCTTCAAATCTTGCTCCTGCTGGGAAAATGGCAACAGACTTGGACAGGCTCCCTGACTTGCTGTTCTGTGTGTGTGTGTGTGTGTGTGTGTGTGTTTAAACATTTTTTAGTGATTTATCGTTCTTATTTTATGTGCATTGGTGTTTTGCCTGCTTGTATGTATGTCTGTGTGAGGGTGTCAGATCCCCTGGAACTGGGGTTACAGACAGCTGTGAGCTGCTTTTTGGGTGCTGGGAATTGAACTTGGGTCCTCTGTAAGAGCAACCAGTGCTCTTTACCACTCAGCCATCTCACCAGCCCCACTGGGGGTGTTTTTGAGATAGGATCTCAATATTAAATGCAGACTGCCTCCCATCTCCTGAAAGGAAGGAGATGATTACAGGCAAGTGCCACCATGCTAAATTCTATCTCAATTTGGTGTGTGTGTGTGTGTGTGTGTGGCTATTTGATATGCTTGTCTCAGTGTGTAATTTCTTGACTTGCATATACTCACTGTTCCTGTCAAGTGTAGAGGATCTTTTGGCCATTATTTCCCATTCATTAGTGTCAGTTTCTACCCTAGGCATCAAAAGTTTCAGAGACCAGGATAAATTAATTCTCTGAACTGATTGTATCTCATAACTCCCATTCATCTTGTTACAGAGAAGTGGGTAGAAAAAGAAGAAAATGGATCTTCTCTACAGGGAGCGAGCAAGCTCATTCTCTAAGGAGGGCATCTTGAGCTTTTATAGGATAAGAAACCAATGTCCTGTTTTGTAGGAGAAAAAAATTATTCCCCCAACAATCGCAGAGTTTGGGGTGTGTGTGTGTGTGCACACGCACGTGCGCAGGGCACCTGTCGAGTAAATGTTTGCATTTGTCACAGAGAGAGTCAGCTGGTCAGGGTTGGAATTCGTAATGAACAAGCGCGCCGGCCTTGTCATTCCAACCCATTTACTCCCCACAACAGCCGGAGCACGTAGATGGAAAGTCTGGCCTTCCCCAGTACCCAGTCAGAGACAGGAGGGTAACATTTAAAGGGGCCTAAGTGACAATCCTGAAATGTGTCCCCAGGCTATTATCTGTATACAGAGATCTCCTTAACTTAGTTTCAGGCTGTATTTTCAGGTTTGGTATTTTTTTCAACCATGGGCTGGTCCTGGGGGCAGTCAGAGTATCTTGTTTATAGAAGCAATTTGCTCGTGGAGGCTACTTCTTAAAAGAAAAATCAGTAAGGAAAAAATAAAGAAAAATCTGAAAGATCATCCTCGATAGCCTGGTGAGGTGTTACGCATGTCTGGAAAGGGCTGGATTAGATTTTAGAGGACACCTGTATTGAAAAGCTAGGGGTTAGAAGACAGGAGAAAGGACCCCTGCTTCAGATACCCAGCAGTCTTCCTCCTCCCTTAGCTCCTTGGCCTCCACTGTGTTTCTAGAACAGCCTTTAGCCAGTACCCTGGGTGGGTGGGCTCTGGAAATCCTCTATGGTATTGGTAGAAAGGAAGCCTGCTGCACCCTCAGAGAAGTGACTGCCCAAGGTCAGGGGCTCCTGCCTTTCTGTCCAGCTTCTTCCCACAGGCCTGCTGTGGTCTTGGTCACAGAGCTTTCCCAAATTGCAAGAACTCTTTGGAGTCACCTGAAAGGAATGGAGGAACCACTTCTCAAATAATAGCTGTAGAGTTTGACTGCAGGTGACACTTGATTCAGGAAGAGTGCAGCCCTTATTTCAGGAGAAGGAAGACAGAGCCGAAGCTAAAGGAGCAGTTGGCTGCCTTCAGATCCTTTATGGCGAACCACAGGCATGGGTGAACAGCGAGCCTTGCCCCCCAGCTGACAGGCTCTCCAAACCCCACCAACTACCTCTACCTAATGCTTCTCAGTTGGAAGTACATGGGCAGAGAGCCCAGGCAGTACCTCTCTGAGGTTTGGCTTGGAGATTTGTCTGTTCCAAGGCTTCTGAGACCTTCTTTTTCCTTTGCTTTCAGAACCTGAACAGCCTACTCTAAGCACATCTGACATTCTCTCCCCTGGCTCTGGACAGGAATGTTCGAGGTGCCCCATTTACTGGTTCGCTCATTGGCTAATGGCATCATTACTCTGCCTGCCTTTCAGCCTGCTGTTGGGATCTTAATGATGTTCCTTTAACAGCCCAGAGGAGCACGGAGTGAATACTGAATGATTTCTGCAGAAAGCAGCCTTGGTAACTCTTCAGTCCTTCCTTACCCACCCCAGATGAGAGCCACAGTCCTCTGGCAGGAATAAGCGCACAGCACTATCCAGAGAGGAAAACCCTTTGTTTGAAGAAACTGAGCAGGCGCCTGCATACCTATGTGGTGAGGCAGCCCCAGCTGAGCTTAGAGAGGAGCCTCAGAAAGAGGATGGTAGAGCTGCTATTTTCTTCTCCTACACGTGCACCCCCATCTGTTCGAGAATTCCCTTCCAACTCCAGCTTGGCTGGCAGGCATGTCCCTAAGAAGCTGCAGGCCAAAATGGAAGAGAACTGACTCCCTCCTCCACACATCCTGACTTGCTGCCAATTGCCAGAAAAAGAGGGCAACGCTTAGGCATTTACCAGAGGACAAGGGTGTGCCTTTTCATTTGTCTTTATTTTACATTTAAAAAGTGGTTATTGCTCTAACTGGATCGAGGTAAGGACCTCTCTTAAGGAGCCTTGGCCTTGCAGCCCCATTCAGCAGGGATGGAAGTCACAAGACAATGAGTGGAGCCTCATGCCCTCCCAGGAGGAAGCCCTTAGTATTGCTGACATCTGCCCTTATCTGTCTCTCCTCTCCTGTGCTGCCACACTCGGTACAAGCAGAACGGTGGCTGACCCAGCCTTGAGAGCTGTTAGAGACCCGAATGAAGGGGCAGTCGTTGGGTGATGGCTTTTAGCTCTCTGGCTTGGGCACCAGTGCTCATCATTCAGTACAACAGGTACTCACCAAGCACCTACTGTGTGCTGGGAACAGCTCCCACACTACCTTGGCCACCAGTGGAAGATGGAGAGTCCACTTTTCCCATTTGGCAGCCATGGTGCATCAGTCCCAGAGAAGTCTGCTTGCCTCATCAAGCACCTTTTTTTTTTAAACCAGAAGGGGCAGAGGAGAGAGAGAGAGAGAGAGAGAGAGAGAGAGAGAGAGAGAGAGAGAGAGAGAGAGAGAGAGAGAACTAGCTGTCACTTCACACTTCAAGCTCCAGGGAAGGACATGAGAACCCTGGATAGCTTCCATAGGACCCTGAATGAGATGGCAAGATCCAAAGACCCAGAGGCCAGGAGTGACGGCGAAGCTGCTCTCTGGTGAATGGCTTTCCAGCAGGGCGCTCAGCAGCCCCTAGGGAGTAGGATATGGACGCGCCCTTTTCAGCTGTCCAAGCCGACGCTGCTGTAATGCCCAGGTACTTCCTTTAAAAGTGGGCAGTACCTTCCAGTACCTTCAAACTCCATACTGATGATCTCACCACAAAGAAGGCCGCAGACGAAAGCCGTCGGCTCCGGCCTGGGCGGAAGCCTCCACCCTCTGGAGTGCAGCCCTCTGATGTGTTTTCCGAGTCCGGACAGTAACCTCAAACACATTCGCAAAGGTGTGCCTCACACCGCACATGTCCTTTTTGGCCGGATCTAGAATGGGCTTGATGGCGTCAGGACCCTGAAAGGCAGGCAGCCCCACAGCTTCCCTGGTGCCTCGGTTGAAGGGCCACAGCTCGAGCCAGGAGCCAGTCTTGCTTTCTCCCAGAGCTTTGTGCATTATCTCAAAGAGGAAGCCAGTCCAGAAGAAGCGAGGAGGTGGGAGGCCGGCAGTGTCTCATGCAGCGTTGCCTTCCCAGAGTGCAGCCCGGCCTTCTAGCTTTGTGGCTTATTTGATTTTGTGTGTGTGTGTGTGTGTGTGTGTGTGTGTGTGTGTGTGTGTGTGTGTGTGTGTATGCGTAGAATTTGGGTTTATAGTTCAGCCTCCATCAGACTAAGATGGGGAAAAGGAACTATGGCTAGCTGGGCCCCCACCGCTTTAGTCAGCTTTCACCCTGGGCCCAGGAAGGGCTCAGGGACCAGCAGAGAATGAAACCCTTCCCCTGCAGACGGGCCCGCCACACTTTGATGATGTTCAGTGAGGCCTCGTTTGGAAACTGGGAAGGGAACAAAAGAGAAGTGGCCGGAGCTGGTTGAACAGACTTCTTGCAAGATGGGAAACAGGGCCGAGGAGGGAAGGAATAGTGGGGCTGCAGCCTAAACACCAGGCTCTTGTCCCTCACAGGAAGAAAGGAATAGCCCTGCCTGGAAGTCTCATTTCTCTGCCCTTTCACACACAGCCTTTGGTCAAGCCGAGTGGCCAAGACATGAGTCCTGTGCCAAGAACCCTGGCACCCAGTCTACCCGCAGCAAAGACATCCCTCTGGCTGGTTCTCACATTCTGCAGTTGTGTCTCTGGGTGCAGACTGAGACACTGACATTGTTGAGGTGCTCCTGGAGTTAGGGGTTAATAAGAGACTTCAGGACAAGACATCAGAAAGAGAGAAGCCAAGAGAGAAGACAGTAAAGCCCGATGATCGGAGAAGATGGATGGGGAAGGAGACGCAGAGAGGGCCAGATGTTTGTTGGACAGTCATCGTCAGAACAGTGAGGTCCTCTCACATTCTCTACTGTCTTCGGAGCTGCTCAGGGCAAGCACTGAAAGGTTTCATATCTGTTTTCATAAAAGAGGAAATGAAGGTACAGACGTAAAATGCCGCCCCAGGCACATCACCCCTATACTGGCGGTCCCGCCCACACCAGCCAGGAGCTCTGCTGTTCCCATTGGCTGTCTTTAGAAAACAGAACAAAACAACAAAACACCACTGGCCCTTGGCACCCTGCAAAAGGCGAGGATCCAAAATCAATTTATAGTGTCTCCTGTGTCACACAGGCAGCAGCCAAGCTTGGCTTTGCTCAGCTGCTGCCCTGCCAGGCCCTGAGCTGACCCCTTCTGCAGTCCAGGGACTACAGCCGTTTGAGGCACAGGGCCACCCACCAAGTCCAGGGCTTACCCTCACCTTGCTGCGGAGGAGCCCCCCGCCCTGGTGCTCTGGTGTGCTGGTTTCCGATGCACTCTTGGTTTTCTCCTTGTTGTTATTGGGCTCATTGTCCTTGATGATGTCATACTGGCGGCAGAAGAGAGCTATAACACCTGGGAAGACAGGCGGGAGCAGTCAGAGGCCCGGATCTGACTTCTTACCTCGCCTGCCTCATCCGCTCCAGTGATTGCTGCCATCTCCAGATGGCCTCTGCGCTCGCTGCTGCAGCCTCCCTCCAGCCTCTGGCTCCTTTTTCCACCTACCAGGCCAGGAGGCTTTCCCTGCTGCCGGGCTGGCCCTCCCACAGCATGGATCTGATCATAGGTCTCCCTGTTACCCTGTCTTTAAGCCTCTGACGGCTCCCACAGAAACGATAACGGCGTTTGCTGAGCCCATGCCTCGCCCTGTACTGTGTGCACTGATGTATTCAATCTCACTTGATCCTTACAACGCCTACCTATTATTATTAGTCCCAGGGCACAAGGGAGCACGCTGTGAGGGTGTCAGTAACTCAAGGTCACACCGTGGTGCGGCAGGGAGGTGATGCGCAGAGCTGGCTTGCTGTCTACTAGCAACCTAGTACTCGGATAGTATTCACACTGCTCCCTCCAGTTGGAGAAGTGTTCCCCACTCGGCCTCTGAGTTTTCTTGATCTACCTTGGATAGTTCTCAACTTCCCATCATAGCAGATGAAGCCCCCAGCAGCTACTGCTTCCCTCTCCAACATCCTAATCGACTTCCACCACCATTAAGTTTGGGTTAATTTTCTGTTTATAGCGTTGTGATTATGTAAACACTGTCTGTGCCAAGCCTAATAATGTCCCCTATTCAAAGCTTCTCTTTTGTCTGACCCTCGTCTTCCTGCCTTTCTCAAGTACCTGTTTTTCTCTGTGCATAAGAAACATTTTTCCCCAAAATTTTCCTTCCACAGTCTGCCCTCAACCACCACAATAATCAGGCTTGAGTATGGTGTTCAAATCTCTCCAAAGACTCTAGCCCTCAGCCTCTCTCCCCTTTATTCCCAGCATTCCACCTTCTTTCACAGGCCGCAGCTACCACGAGTCAGTCTGAGTTTCACCTGTTCCTTGACCCTCATCCCGAGAACGACCTTCCTCTGTCGGCCGCCTGGTTGCCTTCACAGCTCAGTTCCCATGCTCTCTCTGCTCTGGGTCTTTTGTCCTGTGTTCTCAGTGTTGGAGATCGAACCTAAGACCTCATGGATGATGGACAAGCACTCTGCCACTGAGTCACACCTCCATCGGGTTTGTTTTTTTTTTAATTAAAATGTTTTTAATTTTCTACTTCCAGCTCCAGAATTGACCTCATTTCCTCTGTTCTCACATTAGTGCTATTTTGTTCATTGTTTTTATTATTTTTAATTATGTGTCTGTGTGCATGTGGGCACAGATGTGACCACAGAGGCCAGAAGTGTGGGCTCTCCCTGGAACTGGAGTTGCTGGTGGTTTCGAGTCACCTGATACTGATGCTGGGAACTAAACTGGGGTCTTCAGGAAGATCAGTAGTTAAGTGCTCTTAACCTCCGAGCCATCTCTCTAGCCCTGTCCCCCACACTAGAACTCCTATAGCACTCATTATATTCAATTATAGTTAAGCCCAATCTTGTCCCAGCCCAAGTTCCTTGCAAGCACAAGGCTCTTCTACAGTCTAGGATGGGGTGGTTGGTTGTATTGAACGTAAAGATGAATGATGTGGATTTTATCCTCAGGGAACTTGGAGACTAGGGAGAGAAGAGTAGCCTGCTCAGATTACATAAGGACTAAAGAGGGGCAACATGCTGTGGGCCCACAAAGGCAGGCAGGCTGTTCCTGTGGGCAGATGGGGGATTGGCCTTGCAGCTCAGCTGCCTCTGGAAGAATAGGTAGACAAGTCTGAGGTCAAGCAATGGCTTCCTCTGAGCTTCCTGAGCTTGAAGACCCCAGAGGTCCAGCATCCCAGAAGAGAAGGAAGCTGTGAGTGTGGCCAAAGGGTACACTGACTGTGGACACGGCCACCCTAGGAGGCTGGACCACTTCTGCGAGGAAGAAGGCATGCCACAGCATACAAGACAGCAGAAATGTGCCGTGTTTGGGGTGGAGGGGACTGGGGGGGGGGGTCAGACTTAGCTCTCAGAGCGGCCATAGGCAGGACTTGAGAATTTCACCACCACCCCTAGACATCTCCAAGCCCCTTACCCTTGGTGATGGTTGGTTGGGGTCCTCAGCTCCTCACGGGTCAGTGAAGGAGGACGGGAAGCCTGACTCACCTGCCCACATGAAGAGGACCACAACGATGATCAACACCTCGCCTGTTCTCAGCTGCTGGTTCCTCCCCATCTCCTTCATGGTCACCTCATCTGCAAGGAGAGATGAGCTAGTCCTGAGTGCCTTTCCTCCCTGGCCATTGCTCCAGGGCCAAGGCCACAATAAGAAGTGCCTCCCAAGACACCCAACATAAAGAATTCCCGGGGGCTGGAGAGATGGCTCAGTGGTTAAGAGCACCGACTGCTCTTCCAGAGGTCCTGAGTTCAATTCCCAGCAACCACATGGTGGCTCACAACCACCTGTAATGAGATTTGGTGCCCTCTTTTGGCCTGCAGGGACACATGCAGACAGAGCACTGTATATATAATAAATAAATCTTAAAAAAAAAAAAAAAAGAATTCCAGGAACATCGTGAAGGCTGCCTGGGGTGGCAGCATTTGGACTCGATCCAAAGGAGGAAGTTTACATGCCAGTCTCCTCCTGGGGCACTCCAGCAAACCTCCATCTTTTGAGCTGGTTTGCCTCCCTCCTGCTCTGCCCAACCGCTCTGGCCTAACTGCCCTCACCCTGCCCTCACCCTGGGACTCTAGCATGCCCCTGGCTTGCCTTTATTCTTAGAGGCCATCTTCTCGGCCTCACGTGGGGTCTTGAAGAGCAGAGGCTCACTAGCTGGGCTCTGGCCCTGAATGGAGATGGCCTGCACATGCACAATGTACTCTGTGTCCTCTTCCAGATCCCAGAGGGCGCACGAGCGGGTGGTGGTGTTCACCTCCTGAATGAAGCGAAGCATCCGCACGTCCTTCTTCTAAAAGGGGGAGGGCTTGGTATGTCAGTGTGCAGGCACCAACCCCACTTCTGCCCACCTCCCGCAGTGACAAGTCCTTTTCATGTCCATCATCATCCCATCGCCTTGGGCATCGTTATCTCCACGGTACAGCTAAGGAAACAGGCTCAGAGGGGTCAGGATGTTGCCCCAGGCCACACATCTACCGAGGATGCCAGTGTGTCTGAAACTCCTCTGTGTCTGAGGTCAGACCCATGCTCTGAATTGCCATGTCTCAGGCAAGATGGGAACCCTTCTCCACTGACTACGGACCTTCTGTGACCCCCATTCTAAGCTAAATGTACAACGTGTCACCCACATCTCTTGCCCTGTGCTTCTCTTCCTCTGCTGTTTCTCTACCGCCACCCTCCATCCCAGACACTCTCTTCTTTTTTCTTTTTCTTTTCAGTTTTAATTTAAAGACAGGGTCTTGCTGTATTGTCTGGCTGGCCTTGAACTTGCAATCCTTCTACCCTGCCTCCTGCGAAGCGTTCAGGGATTACAGACATGCAACGTCAGAGGCATCCAGTTTCCTGTCACCATCTTGATATGCCCTCTCCTCCCAAGCACCCTCCAGGGTTACCTGCTGAGAGATGGCAAACCCGATGATAACCTCATCCTCCAGGACATCCCAGCTGACCACCGCAGAGTTGGCCTTGAGGTGCCTGACGGTGACATTCACAGGGGCCGAGGGACTGTCTGCAGGGCAGGGAGGCACCTGAGCCTGAGCATGCCCTACTCTGAGGCCCAGTCCCACCGTAAATGAGAAAGGGGAAGCTGGGGGAGGCTATGTGGAGAGGGAAAAGAGAATCCAAGGCTTCGGCTGGGCCACATGGCTCTCGGTTCCTCGGTGGTTGAGAGGCCCCAGGCTCCTTGTGACCGGTAGGGAAGCTCCTGCTTGCTATAGACTGGCCAAACTAGGGTGCTTAGGTAAAACTGATGGGCCTGGACCTGAACCAGGGTGAGATCTAGTGGATGGGTGGTTAGGAATGGAGGTGGGGGAGAGCTGAGCGGAGTTGCAGAAGCTGGCCAGTCACACGAGAAGCAGTCACAAGGACTCCTAAGTCCTTTGCTCTTTCTAGAGCCCCACAGTGTCAAGTGAGTGACCTTGAGGGAAGGAGACAGACCCCAAGATGAAGAGCCAAGGAAGGGCTGAGCCCTGGCATGAGAGTGGGGGAGCAACCCAGAATTATGGTGAGCTGGGCAGAGTGCTCCTAAGGGAAAGGGTCTGTGTGAACCTCTTCACATTCCGTGGCCCTCAAGCGGCAGGGACGGAGAAAGTTAGAGATTAAAGATGGTCGGCACAGGGCGCCTCGGTGGAGAGACACCAAGATAGGGCAAGACCTTCTGGAAATTCCAGACAGTGAGTGGGAAAGTAACGGAGGAGCAGGGCAGGAAGGACCTTCCGGGAGAGGAGAGTCACACAGGGCTATGTCTCTCAAGAGGGCAGGTGTTGTGATCAGAAGCCCTGGGCCTGAGCAGTAACCTCATACCCCTCCGATGAGTGGACTCAAGGCCCCAGGATTATGCCAGACGTGCAGATGGAAAGGGACATAAGGACACAGACAGGTGGCTGCGGTCACAGAACCAGAGAGCAGACAAGTGGAGCGTTAGAGACAGACACGGACCCAGAAGCGGGGCAAGGAAAGAGATGGAGAGAGAGAGTGAGGCGGCAGCGGCAGCAGCAGCAGCAGCAGCAGCCAGGAGGGGACAGATCGGGGTGATGTGGGGAGGGAGGGCCCCATGGGGTGAGCCAGACACCGACTGCAGCAGGCTTAGGCCCCCTACACACACCCTGCAACCCCAGCTTCCAGTTCTCTTCATCATCGTCGCTGCTGCACAGAGAGGTGCGGCTGCCTGTGTGTCTCTGAGAGAGAGGTCTTTGGGGATACAGAGGGAGGCCCAAGGTGGGGCACTAGTGTCTTCAGCCGCTCCCAGGGCCAGAGAAGGTGACTTGAGGCAAGGACCCAGGGTTAGGGGATGGCCTGAAGGGATCAGGAGACCCAAGACCCTAAAAACCCAGGGAAGAGGTCTAGTGGCTGAAAGACGGGGTCTAGGGGTCAAGAAGGTTCAGAGGCGCTAAGGTCGGGCTAGTAGAGTAGGCAGCAGATGACACGGGAGGTCTCAGGGAGCGGGAAGGGAACCGAGGACTCCCCGGTGGCAGCGTGGGAGGGGAGGCTGCCTGCCCCCCCCCCCTCCGCCCGTCCCCCGCCCCGGGGGCCCCCTTACCCGCCTGCACCAGCGCGAAGCAGACGCAGCTCAGCCACAGGCGGAGCGCGGCGCGGGGCGGCCAGGCGCACGGCGGCCCGGGGGGCATGGCGGCTCCTGCGTCCGGCTCCCGCTCGCACTCCGGCCCGCGGCCCTCCCGGCCCGGCCGCCCCGCGCCGCCCCGCGCCGCCTGCATATCGGCTCCGCGGACAGCGACTCCCGCGCGGCGGCAGCGGCGGCGGCGGCGGCGGCGGCGGCGGCCGCGTCCACGTCGGGCGCCCGGGGGGCGGGGCGCCCCCGCTGCGGGGAGAGGGCGGGGGCGGGGTGAGGACCGAGGGCGCCCCCACTCCTGTCCCCGATCCCCGCTCCGCCGGCGCCCGGAAAGCCAGGGGCTTCGGGCGTCCGCCGCTCCCGCTCTCTGGCGGGTGCAGGAGCCGCCAGCACCGCACCGCGGTCAGTGCCAGCCCCAGTCCTGACCCGGCCCGGCCCTTCCCCAGGGGAGAGGGAGGACAAGTGCTTGGGAGATGCCCATCTGTGCCCCACCTCTCACTCCGGCCCACACTCCAGGCACCCATCACACACTCACACACACACACACACACACACACACACACACACACACACAAGCTGTGGGGGTTAAGTAGGGTCCGGACAGTACACTCTGGGGAGGAGCTCGGTGTGTCCATCGAGGCTGAGGATGGCCTCCTTCGACTCTCTTGGAGGTCTAGCTGAGACCCCAGGTCAGTCTTTTCTTTTTCTTATGCTATTTTTAATCCCCTCGAGAGCACCGTGAACATCTGCTAGGCGCAGACACTCTGCGGGCCTTGCTTGAGTGTGGAACTCCGTTCTCACTGCAGCCCCTTGAGGTCGACTCCGCTGTGGGCATTTCATGTAGACGGACACTGCAGTGAGGCCCCTCCACAGTATGATTTGAACCCAGGGTCCTCTGATTCCCAAAACTGGACTTGACTCCACAGACTCCCTACCCAGAGTGGCTTCAACACCCCAGTGTCTAGAATCTCTCTCTATAAACCTGCTCACATTCTAGATCATTAAAAGAACAATCTGGAATCATATTTCTTCAAAAACAGAGAGGCGGAGGCTGCGGTTTCGCGAGGCTTGGGGGACCATGGTGCCCATTCTCAGCATTGATTTGGCTAATGGCGCTAAAGTGCTGGGGGCTGGAAGCTGCGGCACAAAGCTTCAGCTCATTAACGCACTCTGGGAACTCTTTCTTCTCTACCTTGGGAACAACCATGTGCCATCCTGTCCTCACACACCCTTCTGTTGCTCCTTTGATGGTCTTCGAGGTAGAGAGGAGCCTTCGCCCACGTTCACGATCCTTTCCCTAAGGAGAATGACTACAGGACCGACACAAAGCCCTGAACCTCAGCCGGTGACATTCTTTAACTCGAGTCCCAGTCAGAGAAGCAAGACTGAGGAGTGAGGCTAGACCAGAGAGAGTCCTTTGGCCTTCTGACAGAAAGGGCCATGCTTGTCACAACACCCCCCCCCCATCTGAAAGTTCACCCTTGGGTGGGGGGTGGGGGGGACACTCCTTTGTCATAGGTTCTCCGGAGATCTCTTCCCAAAGAGGGTGAACAGAGATCTTCAAGGTCTTCGGCCCAGGCTTTAGATGAAGAAACTGAGGCCCAAAGATAGAGGCCCCAGGACTTGGTGCAAACCCACCATGAGTCAAAAGGAGTCACAGAACACTCCTCTGCTAATGCCCTTCCCCAAGGACTCTTCTCCCTGCCCCCTCCCAAGTTTCTACCTAGATCCCTGGAAAGGACGAGGTGGGAGGGGGCTCAGGGGGTTCTCTTGAGCTTTCCAATCACACCACCCAACCCTCTGTACCCCCAGGACTGCCATGATGGGCAGGCTGATACCCCACCACCACCACCACCATCTGTTTCCTTGGCTACATACCCTGTCCTGGGGATGAGCCTCAGCCGGGGCCTTGCGGGAATCTGGACCTGCCTGGGAGGGTAGCCCAGCCAGGGATCTTCCCCCCTTCTTTTTCTCTTTCTCTTATGGCAGCTGCTGCCTGCCCCGCCCTACCAGCCCCACCCCACCAGCTGCAGCTTAACCCCCAGGGACCTCCTTGCCTTCCCCAGACTACCAGGGGCCTGCAGGAGCAACCGGAGTCTCCTCCGTTAGCCATTACAGGAGCAGCAGGAAAGAGAAGGGTCAGGTAGAGGTCACAGGATCCAGTTTTATCCTGGCTGAGGGAGAAGGAGGGAGAGGGTCCAGGTGGGATCTAGCCTACCGTCCAGGGATGGGGAGAGGGGGGAGCCTCCACGCCACCTGCTGGCCGTTCTTGGGAAAGCCCCAGGCTGATGTAGGGCGTTAGGAGGGGCGAAGGGGCAGTGTTCACTGTCTGGGAGCCAGGAGCAAAGGCCGCTGGGCGCCGGTGGAGCGGGCATGCCAGACCTGAAGAATTTGAAGAGTTGTGGCCATTGGGTGTAGCCTTCCAGGATTCTTGATGTGCTTGGGCGTTATCTCAGTTCTGGAGGAAGTGCTGGCTTGGAACCTAGCACCCAGTAGGAGTAGCTTAAGGGCAGTGAGACCTGAAGGGACGTGGAGGCATCCGAGCGAGTCTGGGAAGGGGTTTGTCAGCACTACTTGCTTTATATACACCACCCAGTGCTCCCTGCCTTAACACAGCGCTAAGTGTACTAATACAGTAGGCATTCAGTAATGCTTGTTGACTGTCCAGAACAAATCCATCCTTTGAACGCTTACTTACTGAGCACCTACTATGTACTTGGTTCCAAGCAGCATTCAGGAAGAACACACAAACATATGGACTGGAGTTGGGGAAGGGAATGGTCTGGAGAGGAGAAATGTGCCCTCCCTCGATGCATTCCTGTTTCTCTACTTGCACAACTCTCTGAAGACACAGACACTTAAGGACTCACCAGCCTTCGGACCCTCTTAGGCACCAAGAGCTGTCCGGAGTCTCAGAGCTTATCTCAGCCATTGGTTGTCATCTAGAATAGGAAGACTTTTGTCCAGTCTTGGAACAGACATGGCTCGTGTCTAATGTGCTCTTTAGACACAGCCCCAAGTCACAGGGAGACCCAGGAGAAGGCAGGAGATTGCTTTGGGGTACAATAAGGGAGAACTCCGCTCTTGCCCTGTGTTATCTGGAGTTTTAGGCTAGGGTGTAGCTTTAGCCTCAGTTCTAGATCAAGATCCTGAGACTGAGAGAACTGAGGGGCTTGTCTGGAACCACGCAGACAATGAAGTGTGGAGCTGTGTCTAAAGTTCATGGCTTCAAGTTCAGGGCCTGATCTGGCGTGCTTGTCTCCCCCCCCCCCTCCATCTCTAAGGACCTTTCAGGATAGGGCTCCAGGGCATTTTTCTACAGAGGACACAGGATTGATGCTCACAGGGAAAGTGGCAAAACTCAGGGACCCACTGTTCACCAACTTTTTCCAGGTTCCAAAGTCCTCATAATGCTGACAGTTGAGAATGTCACACCAATGTTAGAGATGAAGAAATTGACCTTCAACAAGAGAAAATGGTTTGCTGTGGGTTGTCCAGCCAAGAGACACGGCCTGTCTTATCTAATCCCAGATGTCCATGGCTCATGTTTTCTAAGGTCCTATGCCAAGCCACGCCTGCTGGGTCTGGGTACTGAGGACACAGTACCAGATTGGCTCTGGTCCTTGAGCAGCTCCCATGATCAGGGACGAGGAAGATGATGTTCTCAGAACACTGAGAAGCTGGGGTTTCAGATGGAGGGTACCAGATCTTTAGGGGCAGAAGACAGGATTCACTGGAAAGGAAGCAAGGAGGGCTTCCAGGAGGAAGCAATCAATCTTGCACTCAATGAGCACTGAGAGCTAGCTGGGAGCTAGAGGGGTAAGGAGAGAAGCGGGAGGGGAGAAAGCTTGAGCGCACAGTGTGTGGGTGTGTGTAGGGGAGGCAGGGGAACCTGCACACCTCCTGAGGGGCCGGGCAGTTACCAACCCTGGACTGAAACACCAGGAGCAGGAAGAACAAGACTAGATGTGAAAGACTGTCCTGAGCAGCTTGTAAGAGAAGACAGGGCCACGGGAGCTTCATTCATTCAACTTACTGAGAACCTACCGGGTCCTGGGGACACATTGTACACAAGGCGAGCTCTCCATGGGTCTCACATGCCAGTGAGACAAACATAAGCAAGTGTTACTGGGGACAGGAGAGATGGCTCAGCAGTTGAGAGTACTGGCAGCTCTCCCGGAGGACCCGGGTTCTGTTCCCAGCAACCACACAGCAGCTCACAACCTTCTGTAACTCTAGTTCCAGGAGATCCAATACCCTCTCTCTGGCCTCCTCGGGCACAAGGCATGCACATGGTGCACAGATATACAGGCAGACAAAACACCTATACACACCACAGACATACACACACCAGCACATACACCAGCACACAGGGACACACACACACAGACACACACACAGGCACAGACACACACAGGCACACAGACACATGAAGACAGACAGACACACACACAAACACACAGACATACACACAGGCACATATAGGCACAGACACACACCCACACAGAGACACCCGTACAGGCACACACAGAGGCACACGCACACACATAGGCACGCGCACGCACACACACACATCTTCTGAGGCTGGGCATATAGCTCTGTTGATAGAGTGTCTGCCTAGCACGCAAGAAGCCTGGGCTCAGTCCTCAGCACGAACTGAGGACAGTCACTAGGTGTGATTGTCAACACCTGCAATCTCGGCACTAGGGAGGTAGAGGCACCAGGTTCAGGAGTTTAAGATCATGCTTGGCTACACAGGGAGTTCAAGGCAAGGCTGGGTGCATGAGGCTGAGTAGGAAAGGTTAGGCAGTGTGGCCTGAGGGGTGGTATCTGAGCTAAGAACTGGAGAAGTTCAGGATGCAGCTAAATCATATCATAATAGTGTTCCAGCCTTGGGAGCAGCAATTGCCAAGGCCCTGGGGCAGGAGTATGCCTGGCATGTTCAGGAAACTAAAGAAGCTGCAAGAGTCTTGCTGGCAATGTGGGAAGAAATGAGGGGAGCTGGGGCCCCAGGGTGTGCGAGAAGGTTCCTTTGGTTCGCTAGCAATGGGAAGCTTCTCAAATTAGAGCTGGGTTGTGATGGATTTACATTTTAAAAGGATCA